TGGACACCGCAGTTGTCAACCTCTTGGGGCCATTTTCCATGCTTTGCATGTGTTTTTGTGGGCATTCTTCCAATTGACAGTTGCATGGAATTATGACAACTTTTGACACAACTTGGGTTTGTGGGACATGTGGCAGGAACATTATCAACCCAGTTTCTTTCTGCAGAATTCGTCGACTAGAAGCACCTGAGGCACGGCTACATGCTGCAGAAGCAGAGCAGAGGGAGTTACAGGCCATGAAGAGTGGAGTGCCTGGGGCCCTGGAGTGTTCAGAGACCGCCTTGAAAGTTGGGTTGCTCGCTTTGCTCGCTCAGTTCCCCACCCAACTTGGCACTCAGCCACAATGGCAGGTTCCCTGAGCTTCATCCAATATTTGGGCAGGCCATTTGCTAGCACTTTTTGATAGGCCCTGCATGCTACAAGACTATAGTCTATAGATGTCTATAGCATGTTCACCCACAAGCGCAGCTTTGCGGCAAGATTTGCAGCCTGCAAAGACTCGAGCACCCCAGAATGTTGTGTGCCAAAGTTCGCGCCTATGTGTACATTACATATGTATGTATACATATATATAGAGATAGATTTTATTTCTTTCTTTCTTAATTCTACAGTATATATATATATATATATCAAATTGGCTTGCGGTGCAGTGTGGTATGCATTCAGACCTTCAGACAGGCCGAATCCTTTTAAGGCAAGCTTGAACTTGCTGCAGAAAATCAGTTTGTTGGAAAGTGCTTTGCTATACTTGTTGGCCACTTCACATCATGCCGTGAAACGGCTCGACATTAATCTAGCACCCTGGCAACCTGAGGTCACTTCAAGATGCTGCAGATGCAGGTGCTTACATGTTTAGCAGCACCTTTGATGACCCTTTAGAGTGCTTGTTTTTTAGGAGTCGGGACCTCCTCGAGTGTGTCGGCTCGGGACTGGCCTCGTAGACTCCTACAGAGGGTTGGGTGGCTTGTGCCCTCGGCTTTGTGCATTCTGGCCTGTCAAGGTCAAGGGGGGTCAAAGCTAAACTTCCAAAAACATCTGAAGGCGGAAAGTAATTAAGGCGAGAGTTTCAACCACAGCCACTGTGCTGGTCGTTCTTTGAATGGCAAAAACGTGCAAAAACTGTAAACATTGCAGGGGAGTTGTCTTCCAAATATCAGGCAATGGGTTTCACGGTTGATGTCTTCATCGTGACAGTTCGGCAAAAGATGTGGGTGTGCTTACAGGCCCTCAATGAAGTTTTTTGTGGGAATCTCATTTGAGTCGGAAAAAAACGCCCGGTAATATGTATTAAGTAAGGAAGGTTCTCAGAGGTTCAGAAATCGCTTGGCCACCGCTTGGTATTCTGGTGTTTAAAGTGGATATGTTACCTCGTCGCGCTAGCAAAACGCAGGGTTGCTCTAGGTTCGCGCTAGGTTTGGCGCTAGGATCAAGAACTTAGGTCACTTAGATAAGATTAACAAACAACACATACATGTATTGGTCACTAAACTTGTTGATTGGTCATACAACAGGCACACACTCTGACATTGGTTTTCAGTTACACTCAGTTCCCACGTTGAGAAGGAAGGCGATGGAACGGCATGGTGAAAGGTCCAAAGACTTGAAGGTGTTTTAACATTGAGGTTTCTCATCTGCAGTGGTGCGACGACGACGCGCGCGAGCGGCGAGGGAAAGGGTTTAGGGGAAGTAGCATGAACCACCATGGAAACAAACAAAGAAAGAGTGGAGTGACAGCTTGTACAACAGTTCGGCAGGTACGTTTGCAGCCCCCCCCAGTGGCCTCTTCTTTGGCCATCCGCCACTGGGGAGGGGGATGGCCCCCTGCCTTGTTAAGTGGTGGTAATGGAAACGGTGGCATTGGACCCTTTGGTACAGGGGGTGACACACACACACATAGCCGTATTCGGCGCGGTCTCCCCTAGCAAAGTAGTAGTGAGGCCAGGGGCCTCCAGTAGCGTCCTGACTCCCCGGGGAACACTTGTACAGAAAACGCCAATTGTTGGCACAGCGAAAAACTATTAGTCACCTAAAAAGCCTAAGAAAGACAGACAAAGCAAACAAAACAAAATCAGACTAAGAGGGCAAGAAAGAAAGATAGGTGTAGTTACGAGGCCCACTTAGTTAAACGAAAGTAGTTTGCGAGCGGGACATTCGTCTTAAACCGCCCGGGTAGCTAGCAATAGACTAGGAGAAACAGAAGGAAAGGCACCAACACACAAGTGTGTTGAGTGCGATTTCCTTCTGTTGCTCAGTAGCGGGTGGGATAGCAGAGGAGGCCCAGGGGCAGGGAGGGGGTGCACGATTAATTCGTCCGGCCTGTGAATACTTAGCAGAGTGACATGGACTGGTGAATACTTAGCGGCATGTGGCAGACTGAGAGAATCCCGTTTTTTGGCCCGGCGGCCTTGGAAGCAGTAAATTCAGTTAAGGTTGATCAAGTGGTGAATTCCTGTGAGAAGTGGAAAAGCTCAGTTACACGATGTCCGGCATGAATTCAGCGCCCCAGTGACGGGGATCACACTCAGCACCCGAGTGGGACGGCTGAGCGAAACACACTCTGACATTGGTTTTCAGTTACACTCAGTTCCCACGTTGAGAAGGAAGGCGATGGAACGGCATGGTGAAAGGTCCAAAGACTTGAAGGTGTTTTAACATTGAGGATTCTCATCTGCAGTGGTGCGACGACGACGCGCGCGAGCGGCGAGGGAAAGGGTTTAGGGGAAGTAGCATGAACCACCATGGAAACAAACAAAGAAAGAGTGGAGTGACAGCTTGTACAACAGTTCGGCAGGTACGTTTGCAGCCCCCCTCAGTGGCCTCTTCGTTGGCCATCCGCCACTGGGGAGGGGGATGGCCCCCTGCCTTGGTAATGGAAACGGTGGCATTGGACCCTTTGGTACAGGGGGTGACACACACACACACACCCGCACGGACCCAAGAGCAGCAACTTTTTGAAAGGCAGCAAAGCGCGCCGACAAAGGCAGCTACTGTTTGAAAGGCACCGACTGCTTGAGATAAGACAAAGTGCGTTCTTGATCACAGACGTTTGGTGGCCTCATGCACTGGCAGGAAAGCGTGCTAGACCCGCGCTAGATCCGGGCTAGACCCCTTTGCAACTTTGACCACTTGTCCAAGTGCTGAGCAGGGCCTACTACTCCCACTATTGCAAACATACACACAGACGCGCGAGTGAAGAAAGTTGAAAAAACAAGAAGGGCAGCTGCTGGGGGCGGGGGCTTTGTATACACAAAAAAGATAGGAAAACCATCAGCCATATCTTTGACAACATGTTTCCGGGTGCAAGAGGACGGCTACTTTCAGCTTCACATTTGAAACAGTTGGACTCTGTAAGTAAGAATGCAGCAGTTAAAAGGGCATGCACAACATACAACCATATACATGAACGCATGTTGTGTAACAGTGTACATGATAGCCACCGCTTGGAGTTGCTGTGATTTCAACCTAGGATAATGATTATAGAACGGCCTTTTTTCTCTCAACTCATTTAACATCTGAAAAAAGTCCGAAAGGACAACTGGAAAAACTGTTTGTTTGGGGGGGCCACTTGAGTCACTCTAGGGGGAGTCTATGTGCCTTGTTTTATCTCCCCTCATAGTCACGTCGCTTCAACTCCCCGAGGCTTCCTGGACCGTGTGCGTGGAACTCCATGAGGAGACGGCAACGTGGAGCGCACCAACGACGGGCGAACGTCGGTTGGAACGTCGGTGACGGCGACATCCTGGTGTCGTTGCATTTGCCAAGCAATTCAGGAAAATTCAGGAACCTGGTGTTCAAAGGGTATGATCTGTTGATCCCATTTTTTTACTGCTTGCTGCTTGAAGTACACAATCTTGACAAGACTAATGACTAGTGGCCTCTTGTACAATGTGATGGAATCGCCGCTTGAAGTTCGCTTGGTATGCATGGTGGTCCCATCTTGGCCAGACTTGTTCAGTTTGTTTGCCTCGCTTTGTTCTTTACAACACCTTAATCGCTCACACTCCTTCCCGCAAGGAGCTGAGGGTTCCATTACTGCGTCGTTTCACCTGTCGCAGAAGATCGTCTTCCGTTGGTCTCAAGTTGCAAGGCTTGCAGGCGCCGTCTGGTGTTGTTCATGTCATAAAACAGTGGAACCATGAGAAGGCTGGTGATAGATGGGTAGGTGGGTCCACCATAGAAGATATGCCACAAGCCTGATACTTGTTTGCATCCAGGCAAGGCACCTTGAAATTCATAAGCCTTGGCTTGAGAGCCAGAATCGGCTTGGCCGGTCCAATTTACCCGAGCCACGAGCGATGTGGCCAATCATTCTCGGGCCAGATCCCCTGCACAGAGGGACGGCGACCAGCGAGACTGGTGTAAAAAATTTATCCAACCCCTTTAGCAACATAAGACCACGCAACAATTTGTTTGTTTAGCTGTGTTTTGACGTGCATGCGCAAAAAACAGAACATTGCATTGCACTGCTGGAAATTAGCATAGCCGTGGAGTATGGGCCTTTGAAAGGCCAACCTCCTCTACGAAGCGGCCATTATCCCTTTCTGTGTGTGCATTTTTTTAGTAGTCTGTGTTTGATAAGGCATACTTTGGAAGACAAACTTGGTTCTTCGGCTTGCGCGCACGGTTTCCCCCGCGCGCACGTGGTTCTCCTGACACCACTTGCACTGGCCGATGGACACGTGCGTGGCCTGTGGAGTGGTTGCTTTTTGAATGCCATTTGCTGTAGCTAGGCTAGACTGCCTTGCAAGTAGAAAGGTGGAAGGTGATCCCTGATGTGTGTTAAAAGCATGGAGTTTGCACAACAAGTTGTTCATCTCAATGCAACAATTGTCGTAGCAGCATAGTCTCCATACTATACTTGCATGTCTACCACAATACGTGCTGGACTAGATGCACATTGGAATCTGAAAGAGTTGCCATCAAACTCGAGTGAGATACCTACTTGCCCACTTAACTAAATCAAGCTAGGGGTCCTACCCAAAGCACCATGCAGATCCATGCGTAGATTCAGCCTACTTCCGCAGCGCCAGCCTGCCCTTTTGGAGCAATGGCCCTGCCGGATTACTACAGCGTCTTGGGGGTTGAGAGGGATGCACGGCCTGCACAAATCAAGAAGGCACAGACAGAGAGAGAACGAGAACGGGGGGTGGTTTTGAAGGACGGGCCTCTACAAGAGACTTTGCTGGTCACCGGGGTTTTTGCTTGGCGCGTGTTGAAGGACGCAAGAAGCTACTTCGCTCCTAGTAGCATTTTGTTACTAGTAGTAGTGCACGTGTTACTACTAGTAGCGATGCACTTAAGTTGAAGGATGTTGGGAGCTTTGGGTGAGCAGGTTTCCAGCCTCAACCGCACGCGACGGGGAACCCTCGAGAGGAGAGATGCGGCCGACCGACCTCGACATCCAACACTAGCTTCGTAGTGGATTCGATCGACCAGATGTGTCGAACTGACAGATTCTACTCATAAGATGGTTTGTGTCACCTTACATCCTGAGAGCATTCTTTCCCAGCTGCCTATACCCTGGATGATTCTGATCTGTACCAAGTTAGCTTCGCCAACTGAGGGCCTGTAAGCACACCCACATCTTTTGCCGAACTGTCACGATGAAGACATCAACCGTGAAACCCTTTGCCCGATACATGGAGACAACTCCCCCAAATAAACAACAACTCCAAACCATCATTTGGCAAGCAGGCGTTTACAATGTTTACTGTTTTTGCAATTCAACGAACGACCAGCACAGTGGCTGTGGTTGAAACTCTCGCCTTAATTACTTTCCGCCTTCAGATGTTTTTGGAAGGTGGTCCCTCAGATTTGGCAGGCGTACTTCCAGCTGGCCAAAAAGCCATGGACTCAGTGATACCCCGCAACCTCAGTCGCCCGGAGAGGCTTTGGTGTTGGTGGTGCATGCAATGACGAGACAGTCTGGAAGAGCATTGTAAACGTGTAATTACCGTATTTTTCAGCATTTTCAGGTCGGTATGTGTTGTTCATATCTCTCCCCGGCCGGTAGCTCTTACTTTTCCAGCCCCTACCTGCAAAAGTGGTCGGAATGCATAGGAGGTTGGAGCTCTTGATAGCTTTGCCGTTCGGAACGCCCCAAACACCTGTCCAGAGCCCTCCCACTTTAAAAAGCAAGCAGCACCAAGCAGCCAGTCACAGCCAGTCCATGTGTTTGTTATACCATTACTTGTGTCGAATCGAGTAATTCCATTACAGGCATTTATATATATATACAGTATAATATATGTGGTACTTTAATGTTCCTTGTTTTTTCAGACAAATAACGCTGTTGTCTGAGAGCGGACAGAGCAAAACCGCGTGCTCTTGGAGTCTGAGAGCGCAAAGCATCTCAAGACAAACACCACAGTGCTCGGTGCTGAGTGTCACACTGCTGGCATGTTCATGCGCACAATATAGCAGTACAGTAGTACATCGTATAGTGTCAATGCAGTGATACTCGCATTAATATTCGTATTCAAGCGCTGCACCGCACATCAACCTTGCTCCCCATGTGTGCACCAGGAGACCTATGTTGCTCAGCCCATATGCTCTTTTGCAACTGTGACGAGCCTGGATAAAATAGTCCAAATGCATACAACGTAACCACACCAAATAAAAAATAACTGTTAAAATCTGTTGAGCATGTTTTGCCCGAAGGAAATCATTTGCAAGTATACCCAGAGAAGAGGCGAGAACAAAAAGTGAGAGTATTCGGATAATATATGCACATGTTGCATGGTCAGGGAAGCCGGAGAATGGGTGCACGCAGAGAGATGCAAGAAGTTCAGACTTGCACAGCTTTTCTCCGAATGTAAGAACTCGTACGTTTTTTGGTTTAGTTTGCGCTGTCCTGCATATTATCATAGTGTATACTGTCCTTCTCTATCAGGATGCATCCAGACCGCCATCACGGTACGGACATTGAGTGGGGCAACTCAGACCGAAGAGGGGAAGAGCCCAGCGTCCCATGGCTTGCGAGGCTGCAAGAAATCAGTCCCGCCTTTGGAACACATGGAAGACAATTGAAGGCCTTAAGGACAGCTGAGAGGTGTTTTCAATCGACGAGCCGGCAGGTGTTGACATCCTGGCTCACGACTATAATTGAAGAGAACAGCACTTTCGATCAGGGAAATGTGCCAAATCATGCCTCGGCGAGGAAAGGGGCAAATCATGCCTTCGAGCACCTCCAAAAGGCTTACAGTGCCATTTGGCTGCAATCGAAGAGGTTGACACTTCTGTGCATGATCGAGTCTCCCCAGTCACTCACATGATTCCAAGGCTCAGAATGCTTGCCCCCTACGATCTAGTGCTCGCACATGCTCGCACCAAAATGACGAAACCAGCACGTCACCTGTCACGGCCAGCAGTCCAAGACCAAGCTTCTGCAGTTCAGGTGCTCTCAAGCCCCGAGAAGCGACGGAACTACGACGCCTCCTTGGGCAAAGCGGGAGGATTCTCCTCAGCCGCCCAAGCCTTGCGAGGCGGACTTCTTCGGTGCTGACGAGGGCGGATGCAGAAAATTGAGTCAATGTCCGGCAGCACTCTCAGACGCGCAGATGCAGACATGGCAGGTCAGGGGAGCATGAAGGAAGGGCTTTCCTGGCTACACTCGCAGGAGAATGTGAAAGGGCACGGAACTCGGCCAGCAGTCGAGGGTCTTGTTGAGTTCGCCGGTTGTTGTGCGAGATGAATTCCAGTGCCAGAATCCAGAAGCTTGCTGTTTGCGTGGTCCTTCACCCAAAACCCCTGCAATCTCATGTTACTTGCACCCAGATGCTGGCATCTCCCAAAAGATCCAAAAGTGCCTTTGGATTCCTTGGGTTTATCATTAAGACACACCTGATTAGAACATATTAGAACACCGCCTGGCTGCTGGGGCCATTTCTCCCGCTCATCCCGTCCAGGTCGATCCCGTCCAGCCGAGTGTCCTTCAGGACCGGTCGAGGGCGGCAGGCGACCGCTGTTGGACCTGACCGGTCCGATTTTGGGATGCCACGATTTGCTGCCAAGTAAGGAAAAGAGTCACATGGAACATCAAAAGGCCGAAAAAAGGACATGGAACAGTGGCCCCCCTCTCAGATGAAGACATTTGTTGTTGGATGTCGTTTCTGTATATTCGAGGACCTCTATAAGTCTGAAATAGGGCTAAGTGCTGCGGAAAGCCATATGTTTCTTATCGCTTCTTTCAGCCAAGTATTCTCGGGAGTGTCTCAACTTTGCTCAGCCCGCAAGAATAAAGATCTCTGACTGACTATCACTATCACCCATTTGGATTTTGGTTTGATAAACAGGTCCATAGTTTGAGTGGCTGGTAGTCACTGGTAGTCCAACACGTGTCAGTCAGGTCTCCTCAGGTTTCAGGTAGGTTTGCATGTGTGCTGATATTGTTCAGATTGGCGCAGGATTTGTTTGTTCAATGGCATCATTACGCCATATTTTGAACCTCCACACCTAAGATTTTACATGATTTTACTTTGAAAATAGATTGCTGAAGACATCCACCAGTCCTCAACCCGGAGTTGGGGATCAGAACAGGAAGGTCTAGATCCTCACACTTTTGAATGGAAGTTTTAATGAATTCGCTGACGCTGGATTGAAATCTCATCGTTGTGGATTCAAAAAGGACAAGGTTGCTGATGTTGAAGCAGTCGTTCTGCTGTCAGAATGATTCAATGTGGAAATGTGTCAGCAGGCATTCTGCTGTGAGATTTGCTAAATGAGAGAATGTGTCAGCAGTCGTTCTGCCGTCAGACTTGTTCATTGTGAGAGTGTGTTGGCAGTTGTTCTGTGTTGGTTATATTTACACACTTTTGAGAGCAAAAATCAGCTGTTGTGGTAACCTGCACACTTCTCGGCCATCAGGAGGATGTGGCGCGGCACCTGGAATGGCTCGAGGGCAAGGCAAACGTTCTTGAGATGGGGGCACACTTCTATATCGATGGTTCATGTTGGCACGCGAGCAAGACAAGTGCACCTGATCATTTCATCCTTATTCGCATTACCAGCTCATTGAAGAAGCACCAATCGGCCTAGGAGGGAAATGTCCAATAATTGGAATCAATCAATTCAACATATCCATACATATCCTCAATGATACTCCCACTATATGCTACATCGCCAACTGTAGGATGTCGGGCTTGATCAGGGATCCGGGATACAATCTTTTCTTAAGCAGTTTAAACACCTATAAGGCTCTCAACGCATTTGGTGATTGGATCAGGCACCTGTTGTCCATGTTAAGCTGATACACAGCCGTCTTATGTAGATGGTGCCTGTGGTGCTCCGCATCTTGACCCCGTCCCTTTTTGGTTCGGACCGAACAACACTCCCAGTGCATCAGGCCCTTGTTCGGTCCTTTGATCTTTGTCACGGGGATTTTTGCGATGTTCCGTGGCATTCCTATGGCTGCCATGCACTTTGGCTGCAGTCGTCGGGCGAGGGCGAGAGAGAGAGAGGCACCCTACGGCTGCGCCATTGGGTTTTTGCCGTTTTGACAGGAAACTGATGGAGACTCAAAGCAGTACTTCCTTTTGGTATCCTTTTTGGTATGCTCTTAGGTCCTGAGCCTTATTATTGGTTCATAAGGGAACTTTCAGTTAGGTTCAACCCTTAGCGGACGACTTGTTTGGACAGGCAAGAATTGATGAGCATGTACGTGAAATTGTGCACACTAGTGGGTTTGTCCCATCTACTCTGCAAGATCCATACAAACCAATATGTCCGCACCATAATTATCATGGCATGGTTTTAACCCTGCAAGCGCCTTCAGGTATTTGCTGGAAGATTCTGAGCGGTTGCATCCACCGCCAGTGAAGTCCAACTGATTCAGCAGCATGTACATAATGTACATAGAACAGATCGCTTTTGCCTGCCTGTGCGAGAAGACTGCGAAGATGCCAACACACACACACACCGACACACCAACGGAGCCAAAGAACACACAAACAAACAACCCCCCAGGAGTTCCAAAGGGGTGGTGGGTGTTTAGACCCCAAGCGAGTGGAGTTGTTTTTTTTTTCTCCCAGCACCTCAGCGTAATTAGAGGTACGTGACGCACCCCGATTGAGTGGTATCCTGGGGTTGTGAACATCAATGTGGGCACACAAAAGGCAACAAGATGAAGCAAGAGAAGCAAAAGAGGTTGAAATAATGATCAAGATATGAATCAACTGAGATTGAAGATGTGAGCAACCTGAAGAAACACACAAGTTATTGTTACCACTAGTGAGTGGATCATGAGGCACCGCACTCTCCAGTCACCACCCGTTTAGTACATCTCTCCGCGAGGCGACAGGGCATGGCCTGGAGTTGAGCTGGGAGGACGTGAGCTCGGCTGAAAGAAGTCACAGCAAGGGCTACCGCCACAGACGTTGAGCTCTTTTGTCTTGGCTTTGGTTCCTCTCCTGCTTTTGCGGAATGAGCACATGAGTATAGATGAGTATAAGAATATATGGTGGTAGTAGTGAGTGGTTGATTTGGGGATGAGTCTATACCTGTTGGGTGACTCTAGAGAGGACATCTATTTACGCGTGCAGAACAGTGGCGTCGGCTCAAGTTTGCTTCCACCGCCAGCGTTTGCTGAAGCCGCAGGAGCTGAAGTTTGCTCTCTCCCACTTCTTCGAAATTCAGGACGGGGAAGAATGATGATGATGATGATGATGAGGAGGAGGAGGAGGGAGAATTGTTCGTGACACTGCACGCTAGAGGACGCCTGATTGCAATTCTTCATTTTTGTGTGGTCAAGGGGGTGGCATGTGTCAACAACATGTAAGATCCAAGCTAAAACCCCCAGCTTTACAGCCTGTGGCACATTCCGGTGAGTCATTTGTGATTGCGTTTGTGATTGGTCGAGCTTCCTTCAAACATCTCCATGGGATGCTTGAGGTACATTTTTTTCTCCAAGTTACCCCCCCACCACCACTTTCCCGACCTAACCGCAGGAGGAGGAATGGGTCGATGCCTTCCATGCTGCTCGGGCTGGTCGGACTACTGCGAGACGGACATCTCAAAGTCTGCCATGATAATTGTCTACAATCATGTTTCTATATGCTATTATGTACACAAAACAGAGTTATTTAAATGGAATTGGCTGGGTGGCCTCTCTGGGGAAGGCTTTGGCGGGCACCCAATCTTCAAGGCTGGCACCCAGAAAACGCAGTGACGATGTTAATGTTGACCTCCTATTTGTAAATGGCCCGTGAATAGTACTATATAAATCTTTTCAAAAACCAATATTAAATGGCCCTCGAATAGTACTAAATGTTTTCTGGACCTTGATTTTCAGCTGCTTCCAGACCTTGATTCATCCAAGCTGATTCTGAGCTTTCAGCTGATTCCAAAACCTGATTATGTTGTGGTTTCCTTTACTCTGGAATTTTGATTTGGCTGCTGCATGTTTCTTTTTAAAATTGCTTATTTGGGCATTGCAATTTGCAACCTGAAATCAACCCACAAAGACCACCCCCCACAAGCAGCCCAAA